TCCAGGAAACACACAGCCAGGTAGATGAGCTCCAAGCCAACTCCCATGTCAGAGGATGAAGAGAGCATATCCAGCCAGTCACAGTCAGAGAAACAGGACTATATTGAAAAGCAGGCTGATTTCCAACATGTATTAAACAATATTTCTCTCCACGATGGTATCGCAGCCAAACAGGAACAGATGAGAGAGCATAATTTTAGAGATTAAACTAACAGATTCTGCAAAGGGGGGCAATAAAGATGGAAAGCAGAATGACTGCACACTAGTCAAAGCAAGAACCATAAAGCTGAGTTAAGATCAGAAGAACTTCAGCTGGCCTTCAGAATCTTGATCGAACCCGACAGAAAACATTTGAAATGAAATGAAGCTCAGACTACAAGCCTGTCCCTCTAGTCCAACAGTGAGAAAAAAGCACAAAAATGTGCTTTTTGATGAAAAAGAAATTTTCCTTAAACCTGTGGAAAACCTTCCAAGGATGTTTTTTTTTTTTTAGTTATATGAAAAAAAGGGTAAACATAAACGTGGGCAAATGCCTACAATTGAAACCAGATGCTTCATCCATCAATAAAAAAAGAAACCTGGGCTTGTTTTATTTCAGGGTTTTGCATTAACCAAACCTTTGGTCTGTTGGGTTACAGGAATAAGTGAAAAAAGGGTAGGCTTAAATCTTTCCTTTTTGATAAAGGTTATAGTTAGGGTGACTCAGGTTATCCTAGGCTATCTCTATAGCTATGCTGCTATAGGCTTAGACTTTTGGAGGACATAGGAAGCCCTATTTCATTATTCTGCTTCATTCTATCTCTATTCTCCTACATTATGCTCTCTCTGCTTTTCTCTGGTAGCTTTGCTTCGTCTTGTTTGGCTGTGACTCCACCCTGGAGAGAAATATCAGCTATGCTGCTGCCATCAGCACCTTTGTTTATAGATGTTCGAGATTAGCCTGTTTTTCAGTGTAGTCCTGTTTCTCTGACTGTGACTGGCTGGATGCGTTTTCTTCATCCTCTGACATGGGAGTTGGCTCGGAGATTGTCAGTTGTCAGTTTTTTGTAACGCTGCTTCTGTCTCCTTGAACCCCAGTCAGCCTCAGCAGATGGCCGCTCACACTGAGCCTGGGTCTGCTGGAGGTTTCTTCCTGTTAAAAGGGAGTTTTTCCTCTCCACTGTTGCTATAAGCATGCTTATTGTGAGGGATTGCATTCAAGACAATGAGTTGATGCAATCAACTGGTTTTCCTTAGATAGAAAACTTTGACTGTAAGATCTGGTGAACTGTGAAGTGTCTTGAGATGATATGTGTTGTGAATTGGCACTATACAAATAACCTGTACTGAATTGAATCTGCTGGACCTGCATCGGATGCTTCGAAGTCTCTTCCGAGAGGGCAGCAGGGAGAACAGTCCATGGTGGGGGGGTCAGTTATGATGTTACGGGCTCGGGACACGCAGTGTTGGGATGAAATTTTTTTATGGAGGGAAGAGGAGCCCTGATGATCCTCTGTGCTGTTGCCCACACTCCCCCCCCCCCCCCCCCCTTTTCCAGTCTGAGGTGCTGCAGCCTTCACAGCACACAGTGAGACAGCTGGTCAGAACGCTCTCTATGGTGCTTCTGTAGAAGGTGGGGAGGATCGGAGGGGGCAGGGGGGCTCTTATCATCCTCCGCAGGAAGTACATGCGCTTTTGTGCTTTTTCCATAATCTTTTTTTCTTCTTGGCCAACCTCAAACAGTGAAAGAAGAGCTGCTCTGATTTCATCAAAATATTTAAAGTCCACCTATGTTCACTTTGTGCATGCTTGGTTCCAGTGCTAAATTAAAACTCGTTTTTTGCATGTGCAGGAAACTGGGAAGTCTTAAAGTTTTGAAAGTGTTGCCTCTTTCGTTTGAATGAGACAAATTAATTTATCTCTTTAAAAAAATCCCATAAATGGAACAGTGGGATTATTTAGGCCACGTGTCTCAATCCAATCTAATTTACTTTATATTTATAGCACATTTAAATAACATGCAAAGTTCCACAATGCTGCATAAATTAAGAAAACACACATTTTACAATGAATCCAATATCCTCTGTTGTAAAATAAATAAATAAAGTAAATATGTATGGAGGATCCTAAATGAAAGAATTTGGATAAGAGACGGAAATGATAAAAGATGACTTTCAGCACAGCATTGCTGAAAGTCATTTGCTTTTGGATTTTAATTCCAGGTCAATAAATCCAAGGTTAGCGGCTAAAGGAGGAACATGTTCTTTAACACAGATTATTCAGCAAAACACTCAAGTTCTGTTTTGTTTTCATTAATTAAAGAAGTTTTGAGAAAACCAAACCTTGATGTCTCTAAGACATTGGAGTAAAATCTGTGAGTTCTTAAAGTGAAAACTTAACATAGAGGGAGAATATAAAGTGCCAAAAGTAAAGGTGCAGGATAGAAGCCTGAGTGACGCCACAATAAAGGGATGGAGAAGAGGAGGTAGAGATTAGGATTAGGATCCTCTTGTTTCTTTAAAGTCCTGGAAATGCTGTAGAGTTCGCCATGAAGGCTGGTTTTCTCTCTAGAATCTGTTACCCCACTGGTCTGATGTCAGATAAAAGACTGTGAACGGACAGATAGACGGATGGTAGATTTTCAGTTAAGGAATTATTTATTAATTGCAGTGGTATATTCAATCTAACAACTCAAATTATAGTGGTTCTTTTGATGGGCTGCTTTAGCTGTAGCTGTAGGCAGGAAGATTCTCCTGCCATTGGTGGATGTGGACAAGCCTTTGAAGAGTCTTTTAAAATCATTTTGAGATGATTATTCCTATTCAGGATCAGATGAATGTTTTCCCACCATGCCACACAGTGGTTCACCAACTCTCTGTACTCAGCTTCTTGTTCATCTTTAAACCACCCAATGTCTGCAGTCATCCCAATATTTCTGCAGATGAAAGGACTCTGTCTGGTACCAGAAGTCAGATGGATGTATGGATTAAAAAGGGATGGAGAGAGTACCGTCCCCTGAGGTGCTCCTTCGCTGCTCCTTTGCTGCTGATTACTTAATTAGACAGCTGACCCTTCAGTCTAACAAACTGTGGTTTGTTTGTCAGGTAATCTTTGATCCAGGCAGTTGCTGATGCATCCACCAGAGTCTACTGAAGTTGCTTACAAAGTAAGTCTGAATTGTGTTAAATTTGCTGGAGTAATCAAAGAGCATGATCCTCACATTGCTGACCGCCTTGTCCATATGACAGTGGGTGTGTTGCAGCAGGTGTATGATTGCATCTTCACTTTCCTTGATGGGCCCTTGGATGGTCCCCTAAGATTCCTTCCATTCCTTTAAACATCAATGTTTGTACCAAAATATTCTTTCTGTCAATATTTGAGAACATTAAGATCTAAAGAGAAGCTTAATCTCCTGGTCAGACCCTGTAATTCAGTGAAAGGGTGGAGTCAGAGTAAAACAATGTGCACGCCCAGGAGAAGGAGGGGGTCGCTCCAGTTACTGGAAGTGGGCTGGCGTTTGACTGGGAAGGACCATTTTAAATGGCTGCTACTGTAAATATTTAACATCAATAGCACACTTTTAATGTTCTGATAAAGTGCAAAAATGACCACAGTTTAATAACTTCAGAGCTATTATTATTTCCACCTTTAATACAATCAATAAAACAAACAACTCAACTGGAAGACAATCTAAGATATTTTAGAGAGGAAACCAAACCTCAATCAGGTTTAAAAAACACATACATTCTCTTATAAAAGAGGATGTGGTTTTGGACATTAATAAGCAGATTGAATCTAATTTTAAACAGCAGTGAAGACACAACCGCTGCCACCTAAAATATCACTAATTAACCAAAAGCTGTTCTAAGAGATTTTTCCTGAGATTCGGTGTCTCCTATCAAAGTGAGGAAAAGGTATAGAGAATGATAAAGGCATTAGATATACCATAAGCTTTATCAAAAACTGGACGTCCCTTTAATGCTGATGGACAACTAATGTAGAAATTACTTATTTTATTGTGTTATTTGTTTTTGTACTCGTTAAATCCCCACATACTTATTTAAAGGTATTTCAGTGGGAAAAAGTTGCAGAAATTTCAGTGAAGTGTACAGTCTTTCACTGCAGTGTCATTTATTCCTCATGAATGGATATCAGTTAAGTCCTTTTACAAAAACAAATAATAATTTAGGCAAAAACACTCTGGAATTGTCACAGAAGTATACTGGACTGGTTAAACTTTGACAAAAGTCCCAAAACCTGAATATGGTACAAAAAGAACCTTGCTCATGGCCAAAAGAACACCATACGCACAGTAAAGCACGGAGGTGGCTGCATCATGCTTAGGGGCTGTCTTTCTTCAGCTGGAACTGGTGCTTTGGTCAAGATTTAAATAAAGTTCAACTCCTGATATATTGAAGTTCTCTGAGGTTTTTAAAATTTTCTTCCCTAAAAGGTTTCTGCTTGTTTTTTTTACTTTAGGTTCATTGTTTACTGCGACTAACTCTACCTGCTCTCTTTCATCCCTTTGACATGAAAACAGACTCATAGCTTGTCTGTTTCAGAGACACCTGTAGAGCTAGTTTACTGAAAGAATTATAGATCAGTGCTTCTATTTGTTTTGTATCTCTGCTTCTGTCTCCTTGAACCCCAGTCGGCCTCATCAGAAGGCCGCTCACACTCAGCTGGGTTCTGCTGCAGGTTTCTTTCTGCTAAAGTGGAGTTTTTCCTCTCCACTGTTGCTGCATGCATGCTTGGTGTGAGGGATTGCTGTAGAGTCAACGACACAAAGCAAAACAATATCTAATGTCTCTACCTGCTCACACTGGAGCGAATTCTGCAAAGTCAAGCCAAAATAAATTAAATTGAGTTGTGCATTTCACATAAAAGGTGGAAAATGTCCAGAAATGAACAACAGCTGTCTTTGGACTTTTCACCTGTTAGTTATTTTCCTCTGGAATTTCATCTTACATAGGAGAAAGTGTTTAATCCTATAGTACCCAATTAAACACAGACCACATGCATATGTGCACACTGTATACCATAGATTTAATCTATACCTTTCAATTGACCAAAGAAAAAAGAACAAATCCAAAAGAGGTTCCTGTGTGTCAAAAACGGCCATCACTAAAATACAGGATACCATACAAAACCTACAAAATTCAACAACTACAAACAGTTTGTTCAACATATAACAATTGCACAGTATAAATTCATACAATACTGTTTTTTGTTTTCATTTGGCACAATTTGCTAATTTGTATTCAACAAAAAATATTATACCCGACATGTTTGTCTCTTTTTCAATCCTTTTATAAGAAAAGTTTATCAGTGTACATTTATAAAAAAAAAAAAACAGTAAAAGCGATTCGTCGTGGTATAGTTCGGGTTCTCTGTTGGTCTTTTCTTCTTCTGGACTATGTGAACATTCAAAGCTTCTGGATGCTCGGGGCGGAGGCTTCAGGTGGATCCCGGGTTCAGGCGGGTTCTGCACGTGTCTCTCCTCCTCTCTCTGTGTTGGAGTGAAAAAGCGATCCTGTAAAGCCGAGTGAACCCTCCTGCTGGCGGGACGCCGACACACACTGATGTTTGGACCAACCAGTTTGACTATCTAAGGACTTATAGTAAAAACACACATGCGTCTAAGTCACATGCAAACGTGTTGATATTATTCAGGCCTGTGTACCCAACGGCTACATGCAGCATTTCATTAAACACGTTAAAAGAGAGCATTCGAGGGGGAGTTGGGGTTTTGTTGTTTCCGTGCACCTCACTTAGTCAAATAAAAGATTCTGGTCTGCATGCTTGATATCTGCAACATTTAAATAAACATTTCTATTATTATTATTTTCATTATTATTATTATTTCAGCACAACTTTGTTCTGGACTACATGGAATTTCCTCAACACGTTTAAAATATCTACACTGTGCTCAACCGCCGGGAAAAGCGACATGGGTTTTCCTGTTGCTGCACTCCTACTTCCTGTATGCCAAAATACACAACAAAACAAAAGGAACCAGAAGGAGGGGGGGGGGATGCTCATCAAAAAATCTAAAATAGGAATCAGGGAGCGTAAGCGTGGTGATGTGGCGGTTCCAGCGCGGTACATGAAACAAAGTCTATCGAGTTATCAGAGAAGCATCTTGCTGTCGATAAGAAGGAAGTGGAAGCAGTTCTGGTTGTGAGCTGAGGTCCAATCTGCAGATTGGATGAGCTCACCTGCAGCGCGTGCTGGATCTCTGCCTTCTGTCGTGGGCCTAACTGGAAGAGCGGGGAGAACAGAACGCCAAGCGAAGACACCGATACAGAGACTCCAGTTTACACTGCATATATACACAACCTACGGTCAACCTTCTTTGCACCCTAACAGGCCTACAGGGTGGGGGAGTGGGGGGGGAGGCAGTTAAACACACAGGTGTTTAGTGTGGGGGAGGGGGAACAATGGGGGTATTGATGAAGATTTAGGCTCCATCTCCAAAAAGTCCTCAGTATGGGTTGAAGGCCTTGCTTCTTCTTCATCTTTATCTTGTCCTTCTTAATCATCAGTCGGCTCCACGGTGGAGAATTAGGCAAGTAGAGTCACCTAAAGAAGAACTGTGGAGAAAACGTTCAGAGAGTTATTCTACGTTTAACATCATCATCACCATCATCATCATCATGATCATGACCACAATCATCATTATTGTCATTATCCTCATCATCATCACCATCATCCTTATTATAACCGTCATCATCATCATCCTCATCCTCATCATTGTCACCACCATCATCGTCGTCCTCTTCCTCATCATCATCATCCTAATCCATGAGGATGATGATGATGACTCTGTTGTGGCATCAGCCATTTTTTATGGAGCTGTCTGTTGGAGCAGTGGCTTATCTATAGATGAGAGAAAGTGGCTGGATCAGCTGATCAGGAAGGCCAGCTCTGTGATTGGATGCCCTCTGCACTCAGTGCAGGAGGTGGAAAACAAAAGGATCCTAAATAAATGAACATCTTTGTTGGATAATGTCTCCCTCCCCATGCATGAAGCTGTTGCTGAACTGGAGAGCTCCTTTAGGGACAGACTGCTGCACCCTGAATGCACCATGGAGCGTTATCACAGATCCTTCCTCCCAGCAACTGGAAGACTCTATAACCACCACTGTTCCCAACAACTTCAATAAGTTGTTACATTCATGCAGATTTTGCACAGTTTCTGGCTTAGTCAGTTAAATAACATGCTGCTGTCATTTTGAACATCTCTGATGTTGCTGCAATTTTCAAATATCCATTACTGTAGAAATGTCTATAGCCGTATATTGATTATTTTGTCCTCCAGATGCACAGTTTTATATGGTTAAAACACTTAACAGTACAGTATTTTGTTTATTTTTTTAAACTTTTCACTATTCACTATTTTACTATTAACTATTTCATTCATTATGTTATTTTTTTAAACTTTTCTAAGGTTCACATTTGTGTGACCATTTTTACTAAAACCTTTTTGCTGCTGTAACCAGAATTTCCCCATTGTGGGACTATAAAGGGATTTCCTATTCTATTCTATTCTATTCTATTCTATTCTATTCTATTCTATTCTATTCTATTCTATTCTATTCTATTCTATTCTATTCTAATCTATTCTATTATACTCATCACATTTTCCACACATGTTCTGTCATTTTGTTCATATATTCCATGTTCCATTGAACATGTGGAACTGATGATCACAGATTTCTCAGGTTAACATAATTTAAATTGACTCTTTTTTATATTAGTCAAAAAGTCAAACTATTTTTGTTTATATTTTATTTTTCAGTTTCTGACAGATGAGGCAGGGGAAATCTCCCTGAAATTGACTGAAATGTTAAAAGAAAGTCAAACTCAGCTGAAATGATGTTTCCTCCATGTTGAATTAGCTGCAATGTGAATCAAACTCTCCTCTAACTTCTGATCAATCAGTGAATCTCTCACTGATTGATTCTAGCTCTGCAAAATTTGATTTAACAATAAGTTTTTTAACAATAAATTCTTGAAAAAGGCCTATAGACTTTTATTTTTGTTAGGTATGATGACTTTCTGCTTATAGCAAATGAAAACATGTAATAAAAGAATAGAACATTTCATCAAGCATAAAATAATTCAATAATGTAACTTAGGCTTAAAAAAAAAAGCTATAAAATTCTTCCTTAAAAGCTATTTTAGGCTGACAAACAAGTATCATCAGAACATATTTAGATTTATTGTTGACAGCTCTGCAGCTCCTCCAGAGTAACCATGGATACCGAGACTGCTTCTCTGATTATTTCCCCTTTCATTTAGGTGGACAGTTTTGTCCTGGTAGGTTTGCAGTTGCACCATCTTCCTCTCACTTCCTAAAGCAGCCCTGCTTTGGATCCTGGTTTTCATCTGACCCTGACCTGCCTGCTGCTCTGCACTTTACTTCACTCTTTAACCGTCATGTGTTATTGTCCCACAGTTAGAGCGCTGAAAAAGGTATAAATCTCTAAAGGCCTTCAGAGAACAGCTGGATTCATACTGAACCCATTCAAGATGATCTATGCTGATAGAGATTATCAGTCATCCAGTTCATAGTCATTCCGTAAAAGTAGAAAAAAACAACAATCCACTGGACTTGGTTTCCAAGGTTTGAAGACGTTTCGCTTGCCCTCCAGCTTGAATGAATTGAGAAAGCTTCCTGGAGAGGAAGCGAAACGTCTTCAAACCTTGGAAACCAAGTCCAGTGGATTGTTTTTTCTTTTTTTTTTTTAAACTTTTACGGAATTTAAGGTGATCGTTTCCACTGGATTATTTTAGGAATAACAGTAAACAGGCTGAGGATAAACCAACAACACACTTTACGATCAACATTTGTTAAATAATAAAAATCTTGTATTGTTTCCTGAAATCTGAGATTTCAATCAAATGTGACTAAAACCAAAATAGTTTAATTAATGTAAACATTTTATACACCCTTAGGATTATTTTAATTGATGATGGGTGGGTCTGTTAAACCCTTATAATAACTGCTGGAACTAATGTTTTCCCCAAGTAGTTTATCTAATTAGAACACTTCCTCTGTCAGGATAAAAGGTCATCTTCATTTTGTCCGTGGCAAAGATTTGGGAATGGAATGAGAGCGCTGTCCTTGATCTAAAAACAGTGCAATATTTTCATAAGGCTGGAACCATGGATATCTCCTCCTGTATAGATGTATGTATGATGTATGATGTATGATGTAACGATGTGATGATGTGTCAGTTCGAGTTGTATAAAATGCTTCTTTAAGTGTGAATCGTGGCCACTTAAACTAGATGTGAGCCCGGATGGTAAGCAGCTCCTTTCTGTAACTCTAAGCAACTTCTCTGATCTGAGTAAGATTACAATTTCTGCCAAAATCTGTTGTCATGTTCGATGGTTATTTAATACATATACATTATGAAGTATATGTATGAAATTTTATTTCTCAGGAAAAAAAATGGAGAGAAAAAGCTTCAAGGTGTAAACTCAGAGCTTTCCTTTACAACACAGTGAAGGAAATCCTTCTAACTGTATGTAGGTGTGAGTGTGTGAGTCAGAGGGACAGGATGTCCTCCCCAGCCTCCAGTCGATGTGCAGACTTAGACTTAAATAAACTTTACTGTCATTTTGTACACAGTGTATACAAAATGTAATTTTATTTAGTACAGCTAAATAAGGTTCGCAAGCAAGTTTGGTTTTGGCCGGTGTCTCAGAAGCATCTTGCTAACCAGTTAGCAACTTAGTGCTAGTAGGTTCCCAATGGGAAATTCCATTGTGACCAAGTAGCACTAAATTGGTGACTTAGAAACAACACTGTCAAGGAACGCTATGGACAGAGGAAACATGCAAGAGGAGGAGAGTTTTGTGTTGGAGGTTGTGGATGAGTCTCCTCTGTCATCCATTTTTTATTTATAGGAGGAAAGCGGGGACGAAGATGTTGTGGAAGAGGACGCCAGGGCGGCAGAAGCTTGGTTTGGTGTAGAAGGCTTCCAGCCTTACATGTTTGAGCCCTTGCATCGCAACGCTGCCAGTTCTGTTAGCTCTACACCTGCTGAAGACACAGACGTCCATCCCCGTGAACACTGGGACGGAACTCAATGGGAAAGGAAATGATTCTGATTTCAACCGTTGCATATATTAGCTGCGAAGATGCTATTACCGAAAAAATTTGATTGACAGATGACTGTTGATATATGATTGGCCGAATTTAGGTGTTCAGGTTGACGTATAAATAACTGGCCTGCATAAGATAATGAAAAAACCCCACAGATTTTAAGACAGGATTTTTATTTAAATAGACATTTTCTAAATTTTGGAACAATATCGTGTCTGATATGTACTGAGTAAATTTTTTATTTATTTTTTTAACATACTTTAATAATCCCAGAGCGAAATCAATTCTCTGCATTTAACCCATTCCCTTGGAGAGCAGTGGGCTGCCATTGTGCGGCGCCGGCGCCCGGGGAGCAGTGTGGGGTTAAGGGTCTTGCTCAGGGACCCAGAGTGGTTTAAGCCAGAAGGATTTGACATTTAAATATGACTTCCCTATGACTTTAAAGTGCAGCAGTGGTCAAAAGTAAACATTGTTAGAAAAAAAACATGGTCAAAAAAACAAAAAAAAAAAACGGATTGATATGGTCAGTTTGATCTAGAGACTGTGATATGATTTATATGATTTTTCAACATTCAGCTTTTTTATTTATTTTTTTTAGTTTTTGAACATTCAGCTGTCTGATGGCGGTGGGTAAGAAGCTGTTTTGGAATCTGCTGGACCTGCATCGAATGCTGCAAAGCCTCTACCCAGAGGGCAGCAGGGAGAACAGTCCATGGTGAGGGGGTGCAGCATCAGGTTGATTCTGTCAGTGTGAGCAGGCATCATGGGGGAGTTCAGGGAAACCTGCTCCTCCATTAATCTCTGTTGTTGAAAACTGCGGCTGGGAATCCACTGACTCATATTGAGGTCAGAGCACTTTTCCTCTCTCTGTTAGAGAAAACTCACTTCATTCTGACTGAATAGAAGGTGATATCTGACCCTAAAAAGGCAGTAAAGTGGGTTACAGAAGCTGATATTTAAAAAGGAGCTGCATAAAAAGCAAACCCATTCAAACAGGAGTAAAATCCTTCATTGATAAGTCAGCAGCGCGATAATGGTGTGTCATACAGAGGAGGGATAAAGAAAACCTAATCTTAACAAAAAAACACACTGGAAAAACGAGCTAGAAATAAGTTAAATTGTATTAAATTAAGTGTATTTATACTTAATTTGGGTAGGTAAATGAGATAGTTTGCCAATGGAATGAGTATTCTTAGTCTTAAAATAAGATAATTAGATAACATGCACTTAAAATTAGACAATGCGATTGTGTTTTCTTATTTTAAGTGTAAATTGTCTTGTTCCATTGGCAAAGTGTTTGTTTTACCTCCTCAGTTCAAGAAAAAATGCCTAATTTAGATTTTGATTTTTTTCCAGCTCTCTCTGCTTTTCCCCAGAGTAGCTTTGCCTCGTCTGTTCCTGTTTGGCTTTGACACCATCCTGGAAAGAAATATCAGCTGTGCTGCTTCCATCAACACCCTTGTTTATAGATGCTGGAGATCGGCCTGTTTTCCAGTGTGGTCCTGTTTCTCTGACCGTGACTGGCTGGATGTGCTCTCTTCGTCCTCTGGCATGGGAGCTGCCTTGGAGCTCGTCTGCCTGGCTGTGTGTTTCCTGGACGGGGCCGCCTTTTACAGCTGCTTTTTGTATCTCTGCTTCTGTCTCCTTGAACCCCAGTCGGCCTCAGCAGAGGGCCGCTCACACTGAGGCTGGTTCTGCTGGAGGTATCTTCCTGTTAAAAGGGAGTTTTTCCTCTCCACTGTCGCTACAAGCATGCTTAGTGGGAGGGATTGTATTTGAGTCAATGAGTCGATGCAATCAACTGGTTTTCCTTAGATAGAAAACTTTGTATCAATTTGACTGTATGATCTGGTTGAACTTTAAAGTGCCTTGAGATGACATGTGTTTTGAATTTGGTGCTATATAAATAAACTGAATTGAAATTGAATTGAACAATCTGTCTTTTTAAAAATGTCCCCACTTAAATCTGAAATGACAAAGGAATGGATGATAGGAGGAAACAGAGAGCTCCCCTCTCCTCTCAGAATTGCTCGATCTTTTTCAAGCAACGATATAAATTTCTTTTAAAAAGATCACTTATTTTTAGAAGCTCAAACTTAAAGGCTTTTAATCCAATAAAAAAAAATCATAGAAGGTTTTCTATGTCATTTTAGGACTTTGTTAACTTGCGCTGCACGTTTCCAGCATCATCTCCTACAGCCTGGTGTGGATGACCCCTCCCACAGCCACTGAACAGGTTCCCCTCGTGGGAGAAAATAGCCGTTAGTGAGGCTGGACCTCTGCCCTCCTCGGTTACATCAGCGCTGCAGCTCTGAACCGATAATGTGTTCCTGCTCGTCATCATCACCTCTCCTCTAATCACAACAAAACCTTTAAAAAAAAAAAAAGCTTACAGATTGTGGCACCGCCTCGGGTTTAGAACTGGCCGGCGCTGCTGGGGTCGCACTGCAGCAGGCGGACGATGGAGGGGTCGCTTTTGGCTCCTTTGATGAACTCCTCCAGAGACAGCTTACCTGTGCACACAAACGAGCAGAAACCACATCATTTAGCATTTGGATTTTTAAGAATAAACATGGTTGAGAGACACAAAGGAAGAAAACTTTTGAAGAGTGGGTTTGGCTTTAATTAATGCTCAGAACTAGCTGTAATAACGAGCATGCTTTGGTTGTGCAGTGGTTAGCGCACACAACCCATGTGCGGAGGCCTTAGCCTTGACTTGGGTTCGAATTTGACCTTTGGTCCTTTGCCACATATCTCTCATATCTCCTTCCTGTCAGCCTACTCCAAACACGAGCTGTAAAAACCCTGAAAAATAAAGAACTAGCTATAATATCTGTTGTCATCTGCTCCAGTATCAGAGGGAAGCCCAATAATGTCCTGCAGCTTAATCTATTGGATCCCATTTTTTAAACTTCTTTCTGGGATGGAACCGAGAACAGAGAGACACACCCAGCTGTATAACAAAATGAGACCAAAATTGTTATTTTTATTTCTCTGTAAATATAAATACATGAAAGCTGTTAAAGCTTAAATTCTTCAGGACTTTTTATTGACATGGTTTTATTTTTTCTGGATTATATATAACCTCTTAACCCTGCTTTCTTATTGGTCCATTACACTGGAAAAAAAATCAAAATCTAGATAAGTCTTTTTAGTGCATTTGTTCTTGGATTGAGGAGGTAAAAGAGACATTTTGCCAATGGAACAAGACAATTTACATTTAAAATAAGAAAACACAATTGCATTGTGTTATTTCAAGTGCATGTTATCAAATATCTTATTTTAAGAGTAAAAATACTCATTCCATTGGCAAACTATCTCATTTACTTACTCAAATTAAGGATACACTTAATTTAAGAAATGTTTACTTATTTCTAGACCATTTTTCCAGTGTATTTCCACCAGGTGGCAGTGTTTAGGTGTTTTTAATCTGCCTAAAACCAACTTCTTCACTTCTTCCCTAAAATCTTCCTCCTCAAAATAAACATCAGTTGTTTCCTTTCCTGTTGTCTCTCTCTCTCTCTCTCTCTCTCTCTCTCCTGGTTTTCCTCTGGTTCTGGTTCTGGTTCCTCCCTCTCACACTGCTCAGTAACTACTGTTTCTACTACAGCCGTATAACCAGCTTCACTCCTCTCATTCTGATGATTAAAGCACATTAAGCAGGTTTGCATAGAGTCCCTCATCTGTCCCAGTTCCTCCGTCAGTTCTAAACACTGTCAGAACAATGTAAACGGAAAGAGATCTAATCTCGGACTGAAGTATTTTCCACTTCCTGCTTGATTTCAGCTGAATAATTCTTGGACTCTTCTAGATCCTTTTTATTTCATCTTTTAAACAGAAGCTTCAGGATCAAAACATTAAGATGGCTGAAAGTATAAACCTAACAATATATCTTGAAAAAAAAGCCCCACATGCTTTTATTATCATAAAACTGTCTTTTCTTTGTCATTTGAAACATATATTTGTCCCCTGAATCATTAAATATTTAATATTTCTATTTCATTCCCTTCTTGCCCCCCCATTCATATTTCCTCAAGTATTTCTTTTGATTCCATTTTAAATTCTAGTGAATCCTTTTCATATTCCTGAGTTAATTACAGAGTCATTATATAATCAAGGAGGCCCATGGCGCGTCATGAGGGGAAAAAAAACACGTAAACAGAGACAGCTGTCTTTCCTAAATTTCAGTCTTTGAATTATTGTTTTTTTTATCCTAATTTTCACGTTGTTTGATAGATTCTACAACTATCACTGCTTTTTAAATTAGCTACTTTTTAGAAAACAATCAACGTTTAAAGTCAGACATTAACTGCTTTACTTCTGCTTGTTTTCTTATAGAAAAACATGTTGTTTCCTTAATGCTAGCTCTCTGTTTATGGTTTAGTAACACTACTGTCGCTAAACAAAGCGTTTAGTCAGTAAGCTCACTGATACATATGAGGTCCATATGGTTCGACGGGTCACTGCCACCAAATATAACACTGATCTGAGCTTTCTTCCTTGTAGTCCTCCTTATAGCGCTGAAATAAATATGTGAAAGTCCTTCACTCTGGCTACTGTTTACTAATTTTCAGTCCAGTTGCTGTTTGGATTATTTTTCAAAAGTTAGCTGTCCTGCTAAGGCAGTCTTTTCTCAAGAATACTGTTGACATTAAAAAGGCTCCTAAACGCATGGAGATGAACTGATGAACTTGCAGGGATGAGCTGGATAGCAGTTTCAGCATGTTATGTTATTTGAAAATAAACAGTTTTTATGCTGAAAAAAGTATTAAAACTGCTATAGGCTTAAGATTCTGGAAGACATAGGGACAACTTCTCTTCTTTCTGCTTCATTCCATTTCACTCTATCCAATTCTTTACTATTTATTAGCTCAACTCCTAACTGGTATATTCCTGTTAGGCTGTGACACCACCCTGAAGAGAAACATCAGCTGGTCACCAGCAGACCCTCCGAATATAGACGATGGAGTTGAACTTTTTTTTTCAGAACTTGGTCCTTTTTCTCTCCTTAACATAGCTATTGGCTCAGCTTTTATTGACTAAGTGTATGTGCTCTCTTTCATTCTTGTTGCCATGAAAACTGGCGATCTGTTTCCTAGACATGCCCACCTATGGAGCTAGTGTTTTACTTCCGTCTACTGGATTTCTTTCTGTTAAAAGGACATTTTCCTCTCCACTGTCACTGGATGGATGCTCGGAGAGAAGGATTGCTGTAGAACATGGCATGTGACTCTGGCATCTATATGACTTTAGTTATGCTTGACCTAACGGCTGCACGCCTAGATCAGTTAGAAGGGATTCAGCATGTTACTCTTAATTGGTTTAAATTATATCTGACTGACCTTTATGTGGCAAAATTGGCAACGCTAAATAATCTATTGCGTCCTATGAGTCGCACAAGGCCTGATTTTAGAGACCCTGCCCTATTCTTTGTTCTTTGTTTTATACTGAGAAGACATAGGATTGATTTTCATTTTTATGCTGATGACTGCTAAATCTATTTGCCCCTAAAGCAGGGAGATGGTTCTTTAGTGTTTATTGATGTGTTTGAATGACAATAAAGCCTGGCTGGCCCTTAACTTTTTACATTTGAATAAGAAGAAAACTGTGGTTATAATGTTGGGACCAAACCCCCCCTGTGACTCCACTGCTTTAGACCCAAGACCGCTGACACCATATTTTATATCAAAAGTCACAAATATGGGTTTAAAGTGGACAGTGATTTTAAATATGGACACCAAATTGGAGTGGTTGTCAGATCTTATTTTTATCAGTTAAGACGATTAGCAAAACTAAAACCTTTTTCTCTCAAGGCAGCCATTGAAACAGTTATCTCCTGTTTTTATTTCATCTTGGTTGGATTACTGTAACAGACTCTATGTTGGCGTGCGCCAGTCTTTGCTGTCTTCACAAATGTAGCTCCTCGTCTTTTAACTCGTACTCCTAAATATGACCACTTCAGTCCTGTCCTTGCTTTTCTCCACTGGCTGCCTGTGCATTTAGAGTCAATTTTAAAATTCTTACCCTTCTTTTTTAAGTGCTTAAATGACCTTGCCTCATCTTACCTCTCTGAGCTTCTTAACCCCTACTTACCTCCTCGGTCCATCAGGGCAGCAGAACAGCAGCTCCTGTCGGTTCCGAGGTTTCTCAGCGTTTTATTGTCATTAAAGTACATCAAAGAGATGTCAAAGAGCATTGAAATGAACTCTCTGCATTTAACCCATCCCCTTCGGGAGCAGTGGGCTTCCATTGTGCGGCGCCCGGGGAGCAGTGTGGGGTTAAGGGTCTTTGCTCAGGGACCCAGAGTGACAGTCTGTGGGAGTGGGGCTTGAACTTAGACCCTCTGGATTCCAAGCGCAATGCCTTTGGAATGGTTTAAAAGGAAACTCAGAGGGATGACAGCCTCCGACCATCAATGCTTCTCTTTTTGGGAATATCCTCCAGCTGCACATGAAAGAGGCTCCTTCGCTGCCAACTCTAAAACTTGGCTCAACACTTACTTGTATTTACTGGCTTTTAACATTGGCAGGACTTAGTTGTTATGACCTTGTTTGTTTAGCTGAAACAAATAATTATTATTGCCTTATTAGTACCTTTGTGCTGCATTTTATTATTTTGTTGTGTTTTATTATTCTAAGATATGATTGGCAATTTGTTTTCAGCATTTAGCTGTTTTACAGAGCTTTACGAATAAAGTTAATGATGACGATAGAGTCAACTACACTACAACTACTAGAAGCAAATGGCTGCTGTTCGTTCTCATCCAAGAGAAGCGAATCCTACAAAGTCAATAACTGGATGCAATCAGCTGGTTTTATTCAGATATAAAAAATTTAACCAATTTGACTAAATGATCTGATCGGATTTTTACTTTAAATGTGTTGTGAACTGGCTCTATTGTATATAAACAAACCTACTCTGGTGCTGTAAGCATGGTAAGTTTAAGATAAACAATTCAGAAATGTACTCTTTTTTTTATTTTCGCTCATGTCCGTGTATTAAAAAGAAATGTTTATATTAAGTAGTAAGCATGAGATCGATAGACGGATCGGTGCAGCGTCGGCAGCGATGCGGTCGCTTAATCAGACTGTCGTGATGAAGAGGGAGCTGAGTCGGGGGGGAAAAGCTCTCGATTTACTGATCAATCTACGTTCCCACCCTCATCTATGGTCATTTGATCTGGGTAATGACAGAAAGAGGACGAAATGAGTTTCCTTCACATCGTGGCTAGGCGCACCCTTCAAGATCGGGTGAGGGGCTCAGTTACCCGAGAGGAGCTCGGAGTAGAGCCGTTGCTCCTCCACATCGAAAGGAGCCTGCTGAGGCGGCTCGAGCATCTGTTACAGGTGCTTCCTAGTCGCCTCCCTCGGGAGGTGTTCCAGGCATGTCCTATTGGGAGGAGGCGTCATGGAAGGCCCAGGACACGCTGGAGGGACTACGAGCTGGCCTGATGTCGCCTCTGGGTCCCCCCAGAGCAGCTGGAGGAGGTGTGTGTGGATCTGGAAGTCTTGGCATCTCTGCTTAGAATGCTGCCTCTGCGACCCGGCCCCAGATAAAACGGAAGAAAATGGATGGATGGATGGATGGATGTAACCAGCCATAACGTAAAGTATGTCAACAATAGAAATTACGGCTTCAACTATAGTTATTTCCATCCATCCATCCATCCATCCATCCATCCATCCATCCATCCATCCATCCATCCATCCATCCATCCATCCATCCATCCATCCATCCATCCATCCATCCATCCTCTTCCTCTTATCCGGGGGTCGGGTCACGGGGGTAGCAGCTTCAGTAGGGAGGCCCAGACGTCCCTCTCCCCAGCCACTTGGGCCAGCTTCTCTGGGGGAATCCGAAAGCGCTCCCAGGCCAGCAGAGTCCCTCCAGCGTGTCCTGGGTCTCCCCCGGAGCCTCCTCCTGGTGGGACGTGCCTGGAACACCTCACCAGGGAGACGTCCAGGAGGCATCCTAACCAGATGCCTGAGCCACCTCAACTGGCTCCTCTCAATGTTGAGGAGCAGCGGCTCTACTCTGAGTCCTCCCCGGATGACTGAGCTCCTCACCCTGTCTCTAAGGGAGAGCCCAGACACACTATGGAGAAAACTAATTTCAGCCGCTTGCATCCGACATCTATGATTGTTTATTATTGATAAATCAGGTTTTTTTTGAGAAATCAATTAATAACTGGATCGCAAACCAAGAGCCTAAAGAAAAACAAACAGTGTGTGAGACGCACTGACCGTCCCTGTTGGTGTCCATCTGCCTGAAGATCTTCTCTGTCCTCTTCTCAGGCGTTGACTCGTCCTCAGGCATCTTCATCACGGAGGACACCATCTTATATATCGCCTGAAGGAAAAGACACAAGTTGAGCTGAACGCATTTAGAGGGAATTGTGCTGCTAACTGAATATTTTAAACCTGTTCTGCTGTTTATACCAGTTCAAACCTGTTTAGGTGCATCTGAGGATTGTTGTACTTGTAAATGTTTCATTCTACAATCCTCTTAACAGGAGCTTTACGTGTTATGTTGGCTTTAATGAAATGCGGAAAAATTAAAAAAATTCCCATCTTTTTCTGTATAAGTTAAAGTGGATAATAAACTGAGTGGAGAGAAAATGTATATTTAGACCACATGTTTACACTCCTGTCTGATAAATAAAAAAAATTAGACCATTCCTTAAAATAACGAGCCGAAAAACAGGAAATGTCCACAAGACTTTTACATTTTTGAGTCATTTGTTAAATCTAATTCATATCTAGAAAATGTTACAATAAAATAAATTAAATTTAAATTTCTGCAAATTAACAAACTTCACCCAGCAGTTTAAAAGAGACCGTTTAGTGTTTTCAATCTAATGCCAGAACAATCTGAGGATTTTCTTGAAGCTTTCCAGAATATCCAGAATAATTAAAACATTTATTTACAGATAAACATTTATGAATTAATTTAATGAATGTGCCTGTGTGAAATGTCAGTCATTCAGTTCGCAACAAGCACAAAAAGGCTTAAATTGGAAGGCAACTGGACTTTCACTCAGTTGAAGATGTTTGGACAAGTCAGTTCTGTTGGCTTCCACCAGATCAAACTCTAGGTGGAGCGCTGATTTATTTAAGCAGCATGGAGGTCCATCCTCCTGCACACAGTCCAAGTCAGATTCAAATTGTTCTTCTGGATTGTTGTGTCATGTTGTTGGCACTGATTGTTCCTTTTATGGACACAGCGAGAACTAAAGCACAATTAATGCAGATATAGCATCATGTCAAAATGTAAACATGACAAAGCAGCCACAACAAGCAAGCATGTCTTCATTAAAAATTCATCAAAAAAAAAAAAAAAAACTATTATTTTCGAGAACAGAAAACAACTTTGAGTGATGTTTGAACTGATGCTGCTTGGGCTGTGTTTTACTCACCAAACTAGACACTGTTACTGTATCTTTCAAATAATGTATCATACATGTAATTTGGGCTTCCAGTTCCTAAGTTATTTCCATTTGGGTATGCAAAATAGGCGAGGATTTCCCAAAATGAGGTGGATGTTAAGAGGTTAGGGATGAACCAGTTTATTTCTGAGTGTTGTTGGGTTTGATATTCGCCCGTATGTTGTGTTTTGGTAAAATCCTTCTGAGATTCTCAGAAATTCCTGACACATGTAGAGTTACAATGTTTTTGGGTTAAATGAATCATATATTTACGAAGTTATATAAAAATAGAAATTTTTTTACTGCATAAATACAACATCAATCTTTTTAAGCCTTTAACTATGTTATGTTTGTCTTGCATCAAAATCATGGCTAAAGAGGTGTTTTGATTGATTCATGCAATTCCCCCTATGCCCCCAACGCTGAGTGGCCATTGTTGTTTCATGCAGAGCAGTGATTATCTGCCCCCTCACTTACTAAGAGTACAACTCTTTCAAAACCTCATCAGCACAGCATAGATGACCAGAGAAATCAGAGAAGTAGGGAAAGACTTTTAATTCTGGTTCTGCATGCCTAGAACCAGAACTAAACATGGAGAAGCAGCATTTAGTTCCTATGCTCCACTTATCTGGAACAAAATTCCAGAAAACTGTAAAAGTGACAAAAGCCTGAGTTCCTTTAAATCAAGACTAAAAACACATTTGTTTAGGATTGCCTTCGACCGTTCTAGTTAAACAGTTCAACTAAAACATATTTTCTTTAGTCCAACTGTTTTTAATATTCTTTTTTGTTTCTGCATTTTTTATTTTATTTTATTAATTTTTTATTTTTTCCTGCTTGCTTTGATTCTGTTTTATCTTCCTGTATTTTAATTATGGAAAGCACTTTGCATTGTCTTTGTACTGAATTGTGCTATACAAATAAATTAGCCTTGCCTTGAAACTTTGCTCCCACAGAAAAGAAAGTCGAGGTTCTAAGCCGGAGGTAATAATAAAAAAAAAAACTATATTAAAAATAATTCATTTATAACACTAAATATATACATAGTGAAATATTTACATAGGCAGTAAGCAAATCAAATGTTGAAAATTACTAAAGTTAATTATAAAAAAGGACATACAAACATGAGAAAGTTGTCTTTGTCTGTTAATCGCCAAAAAATGTTTTAGGAGTGAAACACTGGAGGCGTCTGCTAACAAGAAGCCATTTTTAACATCCTCAAAGCAAATCAAAAACCAGAGCAATGCAAACCCACTAACTGGAGGTTAACGCCGGTTAAAGGAATAATCCATAAACGGTTAATTCTTCACCATACTCAACCTGTCATCTCTCATCAGTCAGAGTGAAGGGTAGACTGGTATTGCGCCGCACCAGTTCATACAGACTTCATTCCAGTGTGAATTATCCAGCTTGTTGTGCTTCGCTGCTCAGTGACTAGAGGTAGACATGGATGGAGATAAACATGCTCACACACACACACACTCCCTGACAGACTATTTACCCGTGTTGTCTCCCCTGTTCTGTGTTGCATGGCAGGCTGTCTGGCAGTAAACAGTGAAATCCCAGCCCACTCTCTCTGTTTCTAATAAGAAGGTGGGTTTGAGCGGAATGGGGGGTGACATGCAAACACAGGAGGGCTGATTGGATATTATAGAGCAGCCGGAGCTTCATGAAGATGTTGATTATGCTGCCGATTACACAGGAGGAGGATGGCTGAACAGGCAGGTCAAGGAGCTGAGGGACAATCGTCAGTGACACTTAATATCAGGCCTTAATGGTATTATCCGAAATCCTTCATACTGATTTCGTACGCCAGCTTCACTGGAAGAGCACACTAGAATGAAATCACATTTCTGAATCCCTCATTTGTTAAAAGAAGTGAAATGGTCTTAGCAAAGTGTGGCGTACACTGTATGATTTTTTGCCATTTTCGGGACGATTCTCCAGTCGTGTGAGAATTTTTCGATCGGTCCGACTTTCAGCCTGATTTGTGCGTCGTTTAGTGTACAGGGGGAAACGATCAGTCTCTCACGACCACCTCCCGACCAGCAATGGTGAGGTCTGGAGAAAATCAAACATGTCTGAAATTCAGTCGGCCGTCATAGGGTTTGCACCGGAGCATTGGGACGCAGTGTGAGAACATAAATCATGAGCAGTGAACGTTTTCGTCACAAGGTTTGAGCTGCACAGTGCATGCCCGGCTTAACAGGACCACATCGTTTTTCATTTAAACAAAAGAAAAAAATGCATCCAACATACATTTTTTAATTAACTGGTAAACTGGTAAAAGTGGAGAATTTTTTTTTGTTTCCCAACCCTAAAGCTGCGTTCACCATAGGCCTCTAACAGCCCTGCTGAGGTCATGTAATCAGTATATGGAGATCAGCTCAGGTTGGAGTACAGCAGACCAGTGGATCTTCACTCTGACCATGGGGACATCCGCCCTGCAGGTTTTAGATCTGTCTCTGATCCAGCAAACATCCAGGAGCCTTTTAGTCACTATTTCATTTCAGTCAGGCATGTAGCCACAGAGAGACATAAAACTCAGGAAAGAAACAGTAGAATTAAAGTGTATGGATGATGAGTTTTCCTCTATTTGACAGTCCTTGTTAGGGTTGTGGTGCGTATCTCCAGCAATCTATGGGTGAGAGGCGGGGTACCCAATGCACAAACACAATCACACATAAGGAGAATGAATAGAAGCGAGTTATGTTTTTGACTGCGGGAGGAAGCCAGAGTACCCAGAGAGAACCCATGCATGCACATGGAGAACATGCAAACTCCATGCAGAAAGACCCCAGAACCTTTTCGCTGCAAGGCAACAGCGCCACCCACTGCTGAGCCTATGAGCCTATGGGCTGCACCTCTGGAATTTGCTAAAATACAGAAAGTCAGAGGTGTAGCCATGGGCCACCCCACAGCTTCTGCCTGTGAGGGATCCAATCACGGATACTCAGCCCAAAAGGAGGATTCTGAGATTAAATGTGAGTTTCTGAACTGTGGGAGAGAATCAGAGAGAACCCCATGCAGGAAGAGCACAGGGCAGAATTCACACCTTCTTTCTGCAACACAGCAAACGAACACCTGCTGAATTATTTATGGTGCCAAGCGAGGCCCCTGTGCCACAAATTCAAGAGGTGAAAACCCTAAAACGTTCCTGTTAAATTTGTGGTATAAAGATAACATTGATCGTGTCAATGAAGGGAATTTTTTTGCCACACAATCCTCATCTCGTTAACTTTAAAACAAAATAATTTTTAAAAACACAATATGGCGGAGAGACAAACGGGGAATCCTCAAAGTTAGAAGGTGGAATTTTTTTCTAATCTGGATCTGTTTCCACGGCGAAAAGAAAGGCTTATGTTCCTCTAATCATTCAGGCTTTTTCTTTAAACAAAACCACAGAAACAGTGAAACACTCTGTGTTTATATAGCCTTCCTTTTCAGACAACTAGCACAGTCAGACTAAGAAAAGGCTTTTCACACCATACCCGCAAAGGATGATGTGATGGAGTATTTTTGTAAAGTTGATACTCACGCTGTCTCATTACACCCGAGAACCCTGAAACGCATCTTCCTGTGACTCGCTATGATCCAGCCACATCTTATTTTGTATTTGACCTACACAGTGATGCATAGTTATAAAGCAGAATAGAAATGGTTTTCTTTTTACATGTGTCTAGCCATCCATTTACTGATAGACTGATAGACATAAATAAAATTAACCCAGAAATCTCTTTTCAAAGCAGGTTTTAAACCTTGACCTCTGAGTTATGTTGGTTGCTAATGAAGCTACTCTGCAGAATCTGTTAGTTCAATCTCTAACGTTCTGCTCTCTCTGCTTTTTCTCATAGTAGCTTCATCTGGTCTGTTCCTGTTTGGCTGTGACTCCATCCTGGAGATAAATATCAGCTGTGCTGCTGCC